CCCCAAAACCCCAAAACCCCAAAACCCCGAGAGCTAGATAATCTATCAATAAAGTTAATTTAAGTTTTCATAGATCCAGCTTTAATCAAGAATCTTAGAGTACTTTGATCTTCTATCTAATAGATATCTGCAATAAGCTTTCTGGTAATATGCTGGACTACTTTACCTTACTAAATCTAAAGCCTCTATAAATCTCTCATGAAAGTAACTAGACCTAGTCACGTCTAAAGATTCATAGAAATGCTTCATTGCCTCTATATTTCTTCGAACATTTTAGTCATTAAAAACTGGTGCCTACCCTATTAGGCAACTCATAACCTTTAACTTATTCTCAAAACTTGAAAGCAATATTACGCATTCATCCTTAAATTCCTTAATAACTTCTAAGTCTTTTAGATCTTTGAATGCTTCATTGAATAAATCTATCTTGAACTAAAGGTCAACTTCTGGATTCGGTGTTTAAACTGAGAATACTTTTCTTAATAGTACCTTCTTTTCATTCGTCTTCAGCTGATACTTCATTGATGGTTGTTGATGCTAAGAAGAGCAATTAGTCACATATTCATCATCAATTTTAACATCTATGCTCCCATCTCTGAGCCACTATACTAACTAGACACATGAATCATTATAAGCTGAAATGAAGTTAGGGAATCTAGTTAGGAAAATAGATCTCAAACTATTATCCAAAAGCTCACTTTCTATTAGGATAAGCATTTGCTATACTTGCTGCTTTGTGAAGTACTCTCGAAGATCTTGATCTATGTGAAAGTTTATAGCATCTTTAATTAAGCCCAGAATTAACTTTAGAAGAAAATGATTGTGCTCAAAGATCATCTATTCTTAAGCAATCTCTACGAATTCTTGGCTGGAAACTTGATGATCTACTAGCATTTACCATAAATTTTGCCAAAACAAAAATCTAATCTTTACTTAATCAATCCTTTGAAGATTATGCCTTAGATTCTAGATTGTTTTATCATCAAGTCTGACTTTTGCATATGTAACATCATTATGATCAATGATCACTGCTCCTATTATTCCAGCATAATAGTGATCTACAGTCTAGTAAGATTAACAGCTCCCTATTTCATAATCATTAAGGTCAATCAGCCTATAATGATCATTGAACTGAGCAATGTCAAATTTCTAGCACAAAAGACTGTTGCTAGTATTTTCATCAGATCTAAACTGATAAATTTCAAAGCTTTCAATCATTAATCCGTCCTCGTTATCATATAGGATATCTGGCTCTATTATATTAGGGTAAAAGCCATTATCAGACCAGTGGTTGCTCCATTCAAATATGTCTAAACCACTGAATGACTTCATCTAATTAGCTTAAATCAAATAATCATTCAGTTTAAAAATCAAATCCTAAGTTTCAACTTTTGATACAAAAGCATCCTCAAGGAATTCATCAAATGCTTTGTGGAAAATTTATTTGCCAGTGAAAAGTTCCAACTACTTTAAATATTTATAGAATTTCTCAGATTTATTTAATAACTACAGTTGATCAATATAATAAAGTCTCAGTATTTGGATATCCAATCCTTTACTTCCTATAATATCTTCTTGTTTTTAATCTAATAAATCTAGTATAAATAACTTTATACCTAATTAAATATATTCTTGCACCAAATCTAGAAAGAATAGTTTCTCAAAGTATGAATTCATTATTTCAAAAGCAATTAGCACTTCAAAATTATATAAATTACTGTCCTTATTTAAATCTACGCTCTTTTGTATCTTATCATAATTAAAAATGATTATGTTAAACCTAGATAATCTGATTAACTTTTATTCACCACAAGGTATAAAAATCAACTTAAGAAATTTAGGAATATATCTCGTCTTAAGTTCGTCCATAATTAGTTTGAATTTACTTTAAAGAATAGCTATAACTTTTGTATATATTTTGTTTATTTCAACTGTAGTGTGCTATGGGCAATATACCTCTATTAATTTAATAGCTTCTTTATTCTATATTATTTCTATTCTTTGAAAGTGACCTATAGTGAAAAATAGCTGACTCGGATTCATATAAGGTGTGTATTTGTATTGGATGATTTTTAAATCTTTAAAATTCTTTAAATCTAGATTGAAATCCCTTAGAGCGTCATTTGCCATTTTTAGTATTTCATCCTTTCTTCCTGGAGATGATTTCTTATCTAACTTAGTATTTGATATAAACTAAAGCTCTTATGGAATGATTACTGATAGACAAAAGGAAAATTAAGCATCAAAGTCTTTTAATGTTGGAAATATTTATGCTATAGAATTTTAGTCAATTTCAGAGAATGCTATTGTATTCTCCATCTCAGTAGTCAAATTTATGGAATTATCCTGAGTTTGTGTAAATTTGATGAATCCTGTGCCGTTTTGTGAATACTGTGCCTGAAAATTTACCTCAACCTGAGACTTATTAAAATCATAATATGCTTACTAAATTAGCTTTTAAACCTATATTTAAATGTTCTGCAGGCAAATTAATTAGATTATTGTCATCCTATGATATTTGCTCATCAAATGTTTAGTTTATTTTAATTCTGGAAATTTTGATTCCTTAATTTGATCAAATGTATAGACTAGTTTACGGCAAATAGTCAAGGCTAAAATCCATGAGCATCTTCCCATAGTAAAAATCTCCATCTATAATTCATTAGTAAGATAGTAAGGTACCTTTAGTAAAGAAAAGATAGGGATAATATGATATATGATTGATACTACCAATGTCTAGATCTTTTTCGTCACAAATTGTTTCTTTTAAGCTCATTTGCTGTAGTGGTATCATACATA